GAACTCCCACTTCCCACCCTTTCCTCTCCTGCCTCCTGCCCCCTATTCTTCTGGGGCTCCCCCCCCCCCCCCCCCCCCCCGGGTCGTTCGCTTTTATCATTTTATGTGGTTCTTGTAGTCGTGGTTTCCGTAGCAAGAGTATTTTTTACGGGTCGGGGTGGCTAGCCCCACGTCCAACCCCCCTCCTTTCTCATCCGGGTTATTGGAACCGGCCATGGCGGAGCTTTACATTCATATCCCATTACTCACTGATGATTTCAGTAAAAAGCTCTTTACATCGTGAAACCGTTTGACCAGAAAAGAAACTTTAGATTTCTGCTCTTAGCGTTAAGTTATGTTGCTCCCAACCGAAGAATTTTATCTAAATTAACTCTAATAAGACGACAATGGGATTTTGTTGGACGGCGTGCGTGTACGTCTACATCCATAAATACTCTGGAAGAACTGTTTTTTTGTCTGTTTGTGTGCTTTTTTGCTGTTGGGGAAGGGTTCTTTCCATTCTAAGGAAATTTTTTTCCGTCAATTTTTTTGATTATTTTGATTAGTCCAATCAACCAGAGCCCACAAAATAAACCGTAAAAAAATTAATAGAAACAGTTAATCACAAACTTTGTCGCTTGGCGGCGTTACAAGGAGAATCACTTTTAAGTATAAGGCTCTTAAGTTAACGACAAGGAGCTTATACGTTAGCTTAAAAAATCCGCGTTGAAGCAAATACTTTTATGTTTTTAGGGACAAAGTCGATGATCAAGTTTGGAGGTTCCTTTTAACCGGAGGAGTTGCTTTGGAAAACCCGTTCCCAAACCCGTGCACGGAGTGGTTGAGCGAAAAAGCCTGGTCCGAGATCGTGAGGGCATCTGATTTACCCAACTTGAAGGGTCTCAAAGATAGTGAGTATTTAGGTCCATTGCACAATCAGTTAAAGCAAATAGTCGTTGAAATTCATTCACAGTCGCAAAGTGTGTTATAGTCAACGTTTATCAATTAGATCCTGCTACAGTGAAACAGGAAATTACGTTCACACGCTCAAGGCAACGCTCCTGTGATGATACAAGTCTAATTCTATTTATGTTGCCAGGTTTCCCAGATCCTGGCTGGAAAGTGTTTTATGACTCGGCCACACCCAATTCTGAGAGAATGCCGGATCCATGGGACGCGGTATCAGGACTTGACCGGTTAGTTTGGACCAATCATTTTCCACCTTGTGAAATTCAAACAGCCTTACAAGTCATACAATATCTTTTTAAGGTTTATAGCTTTGGAAATCACTTCTATTCACAATCCGTTCTTACGTTGTTTCAGTTGTCTGTATGATTAGATGCCGCATCTAAACACGTTCTCTTTGTCTACCAGGTTGGTGATCCTGCGTTGCCTTAGGCCTGATAAGATTGTTCCTGCAGTTCAGGTATTTATAAGACTGTATAACCTTGGTCTTGATGTTCCCTTGCGTCAGTTATTTGATGCTATTTCAGCATAGAAGTAATTTTGGCGACATCTGCGAAAACGCCTAGATTTGGGATTAACAAGCATCCTGTTGACTGTTAGAAACTGCTAAGTTATGTCAGGAACACTTTTGAAACGCTCTCTTTTTTAACATCAGAGTGGCCTGGTGATATTCAAATTGAATTACATCCTGACTGAAATTGTCTTATTGAACCAACTAATCTTTTAATTTAAGCGGTAAAAGGCAAGTGATATAAGAATTGTCATTTTGTGTTCATATGCATTGCAGAAACCCGTCTTTTCAAAGAACGAGTAGACAGATTGAAACATCCGAGACTCGTTCGGTGCTTTAATATTGTCACCCTAAGATAAAGCCCATATTTCTCCATTGTCATGTTCATAGAAAAACGTACTTATTTTCACTTGAATCTGCTAACTTGAGGTTTTGTCGTCAGGACTATATCGTGGAGAACATGGGTCGTTCGTACATTGAGCCGCCAACATTCAACCTACAGCTGAGTTACAATGATTCCCATTGCTGCGCGCCACTTATCTTCGTGTTGTCGCCTGGGGCCGACCCAATGGCTGGTCTGCTTAAGTTCGCCAGTGACAAAGGATTTGGAGGAAACAGGATTCAGACGATTTCACTTGGTCAAGGGCAGGTGAGATTTAGATTCCGTTTGTAACTGCTTGTCCTTGTGGTAGCAGCTGGGATTTGTGGGGATTTGTACGAACTGCTATGAAACATGTGGTGTCGGTTTACGTGGTCTCTCATCGTTTTTTAAGAAAGTGGCAACCCTGTTAGCGAGTTACAATATCAAAATCTTTAATTATGCTTTGTGAGGAGCTAGTCGATAAAGAATTGAAGTGATATGTCGTGAGTTGATTTCCCAATGCAGTCATGCGTAGAGCGAAAAGTCGTGCGTAGAGCAGAAAAGAGTAAGTGTGGTTTTCCGTTGGCTGAGTGAACGTTTTTCACACACGGCTGGGAGTCTAGGTACAGGTGTGCGGGGCGGTTCAGGTCACGTGGCTTGTGTAAGGTTTCAGTTTTTGTTTTGCCATCCGCCATTGCCTGACATGCCCCACCCACCCACCCATGAAGTATTTGTAGAATGTGTTAAGTTGAGGTGATATTATTCTCTAGCCACTTTTTGTGTCATTGTGACACAATTATGTTCTTATGTTAATAAAGGTCAGGCTGTGTGGTTCGGCTTGGCATGGCTCTCAGCGGTGTGTGAGAATGCATATTAATTTCAAGTTTACTCAGTTGCAGTAGTATCACACTTCGTATTGCAAACCTTCTGCCTTAGTATTTTCTCCCTTACTTCGTATTTCAACCCTCTTCTTGTAAAGAAGATATAAGTCATGAACTGATCGGCCGCTTCAGTCATCTAGGACGCGCAGAGTAGAAAAAAGTAATATATCAAATACGAAAGACAGTGTTTGACCACATTTCCAAACACTGAGAATACGACGTGCAGCGGAGTATTTTTGACGAACTTCGAAGTATTTGGAAATGTGGTCAAACACGGTCTTTCGTGTTTGATATATCTTCTCAATCGAAAATAAAACTAAGGAGAAAACGAAGAAATAAAATCGTAAAAATCTATGCTAATTAAGATCAGATATCTAAACACCGTCACGGTCTTCATTTCCTTGGTTTAAACTTGATGAATTATTAATGAGTTTGAGAAGTAATGGATATTTATCACAATATTACCGAGTAACAGCCATATAACACTTCGTATTGCTCGCCTTCTTCCTTAGTATTTTTCCCTTTCTTTTCGAACTGCAATCATATCTCTTATTACCCTCTAACCACTTTACTCGTTCCTAGGGTCCCATTGCTGCCCGCATGATAGAACAGGCTCTCAAAAAAGGTACCTGGGTTGTGCTTCAGAACTGTCACTTAGCAACAAGCTGGATGTCCAANTACATTCTGTAATGTCAGTGTAGTATTGTTCTCTGTTGATAGTCCGAGAAAATACGTAATTATTTGGTGAATGTTCAGATGGAATTGAACTTTCCGCCATTGCATGACGCTGGACGGCTAGGCTCAATGTAACTGGCCAATTTAGAGAGAAGTCTCTCGTTGATTGGCAGACCTTTTGTCCTAAGTTTGTGAGGCGAAAAAGACATAAAGGTGCTTTCTATTGATTAGAATCGAACTTGCCGCCATTGCAAGAAGCTGGGCAGCCTGGTTCAATGTGATTGGCCAATTGAAATAGAACTCTCGTTCATCAGCTGATCTTTTGTCCTAAGTTTGAGAGGTGAAAGAAACGCAAAGGTGCTCTGTATTGATTAGTTTTATGACAATATCGTTAGCAAGTTGACTTCATAAAACTTTTGTGTTGCCATTTTAGCCCGCTCCTTGGGAGAAGCTGTTGTTTGGTCTTTGTTTCTTCCACGCTCTGGTGCAGGAGAGAAGGAAGTTTGGCCCTCTGGGGTGGAACATTCCTTACGAGTTCAACGAGTCAGATCTCAGGATCAGCATGAGGCAGTTACAGGTATTATTGCCTTTGAAGCACGCTCACTAGGATCAGCGATGATTTTCAGTTCTCCTTGAGAGTGGTGCAGACTTGCCAGGAGACGAAACTGACATGATTATAATACTTCAAGGATACGCTCTGCATGTTCGCTTTAGAGGGGTGTTTACAGGTGTAACGACTACATGGCACTTACAAATTATCTATGCGTTTACTGGCATGTAATTTTTGTGTCTCATTCCCTTATATGCACACAACTGTATAATCAATCTATGAAGATATTGATCGATCCTTTGTTAATCTGTCAGATGCTAAGAGGGTTGTTAAAAGTCTTAAGTGCATGCCATTTAATAGCTACGTTATCTTCAAGCTGAGAGCTGTGAAACAAATTTTCGAAGTTTCACTCAACAGAAACTGAGAATAAATTTTTATTTTCCTCGAAAGAAAAAGGTGCGTTTTCTGTTGAGGAGTACATAAATTAGCTGTCTTATCTGCGTGGGGCAGGAAGTTGAATAAGGTCAACATTGTCATATGTTACTGTAGTAAGACGCCCCTAAAGTAAAGTCGCTTGTCTTTCAGATGTTTTTAAACGACTATGCTGAAGTCCCTATGGAGGCTCTGACGTATCTGATTGGTCAGTGTAACTATGGTGGTCGCGTGACTGATGACAAGGATCGCCGGCTGTTGGTGTGCCTGTTGTCTATTTTTGTATGTGAAGAGATTATAGCAAGCGATGATCACAAGTAAGTCCGAGTCTACAATTCCGAAGTGATTAACATCTAAGTTCTTCTTACAATGTTAATACATTTTCAAGCAGGCAGGCATCTGAATTTTTCAAGTTCGTCGTTTGTAATCCGTGTCAATCTTCTCCATCCTTATCCATCCTTGTTTCTTTATGGTTTATTATTATCTCTTTAGTATTTTTTTTTTAATCTCAGTAAACTTTTATTTTCAGGTCTCCTTCGCTTTAAAGGTAATTTTGTACGTAGCCAAAAGAGCTCAAAATACCGCGAAAGAGCTCCCTTAAACATCGCGCGTAGCATGGTGTTTTTTTTTGACGAATCTCGAGGAGTTTAAAAATTGTTCGTTTTAATAATTTTCGATCAAACTCAGTAAGAAAGGTTAAGACTCGTACGCTGAGGGATTTCCGTCGTGAGTTTGATAAGTGAAAGTAATCTGGTATAACTTGACGAAGAAATCATTGACACCTAAATATTTCTTCCCTTATCTAAGCTGTGTGTGTCTTTTTCGTCAGGTTCTCGGACAGTGGTACATATTACGCGCCATCCAAAGGAGACTATGAATCATATGTGGACTACATCCGGGACTTACCTCTCATTCCTCACCCGGAGGTGTTTGGTCTTCACGAGAATGCTGACATCACTAAGGATCAGAAGGAAACTCAAGAGGTAAGTCTTTGTTACTGCCAAGCATTAATGTAAAAATATCTGCTCTATACGACGCCGGATTGAAGAATATTGTTTTCATTCAAATTAGGGGGCCGGACGGAGGAAGCATTGTTTGCTTCTTTGAGGGCTTTGGTATGCTGAGTCGTTGGTAATGCAGTATCAGCTCAATAGCGAAGTCCTTCAAAATTTGAATTCTCCACAAAAAGCTTATAATGCGGGATGCTTAGAAATTATGCAACGTCTCTTCAGTTAATAACTCGACGAGAAACTAAATTCAATATGAGGAGAGAAAATCGCAAAAACTCTCTTAAGAACTCTTAATTAATGTTACGAATATCGCATGTACCGTGAAGCGACCAAAGTGCGATAGTTTAAGCAATAAATTAGTTTATGTGAATGTGAAAATTAACTTTCAACTCTTTCTTACCAAACAGCGTGACGAAGAGAGATGATGTAAGGTTATGGATGCAACATCCCTGACTTGTTTTCTCTCTTTTCTCGTTTTGTTCTCTTTTAGTTGTTTGACAGCATCTTGTTAACCCTGCCCCGTCAGACCGGCGGAGGAGGGAAATCCTCGGCTGAAGTGATCGATGAACTGTCAGCTGACATCTTGTCAAAGTTTCCTCCTCCTTTTGACATGGAGATGGTGATGAACAAGTATCCTGTGGTTTATGAGGAGTCCATGAACACTGTGCTAAGACAGGAATTGATCCGGTTTAACCGGCTCACCGAGGTGGTGCGAAGCACGTTGTACAACCTGCAGAAGGCTATCAAGGTAAATTTTTTCTCTTCTTAAAGTGCTCATAGAATATAAAGGAACCATTTTGTTAGAATGTGGCAAATTCGCATGCAAGTCTGGTTTTGTTGGCTGCCAGAACATTTTCTTTTTCAAGTTTAAGAGCCTCTAGGTCCAATTCAAGACAGATTTTGCCGCACTAAGAGAATATCGTCCCTAGGTCTTGACGGGAAAAACCAAGCGTCCATACAAAAAAGAGCGAAGGCAGATGTTCTCTCGAGAGAGTCTCAAGCAAGCTTGCCCAATAAGGGATCTATTACACAACTTTATGACAGAAAAAAGGCGGTAGAAACTTTACCCTGTCGATTTTAACACAAGGTTTGGCCTTCACAGCTCTCGTGGTCAAAACTGTTTTTCACTCTGAGAGTAAACAATTAATCGGTTATAACACATTTAAATTTAGATTATTGCTGACTGTGCATGTTTACTCTGTAGGGTCTGGTTGTTATGTCAGGTGATCTTGAAGACGTGTTCAACAACATGTTGGTCGGCAAGGTCCCGGCTGTTTGGGCTGCAAAGTCCTATCCCTCCCTAAAACCACTAGGAAGCTATGTCGCCGATCTGTTGGAAAGGTACAGAATGTTTGTTTGTTTGTTTCCTTGTTTTTTCCTTGTTAAAGCACCTGCGTTATATGAGGTGTTTTCAATATTGTGACTCCACCTACAGTTGTTATTTCAGCGTTATCAGTAATTATTTCTGCAAATGTCATTAGAGCGGATTTCAATTGAGTGTCGTAAAACCAAAACCAAACCAATTAATTACCAATTGGACTACTAAGCCAATCTCAAACCGTGATAAAACCAAAACCAAAGTAATTGCCTGATTACTTTCGACACTCAATTGAAAACCAGTCTATCAAAACGGGAAGAGGTGTCTGTTTTTAAGTCATGACATGTTACTGAAGCCGTTGTTTTTTGTTAGTTTGGTAACACTATTCAAAAGAATTTTGAAGAAGGAAGATTTAGTCTGAACGCACGAGCGGTTTAAGCCAAAATTGATCCTCCCAAAGCAATGTTTCCTGTCTTTTAACCGTCCTGAGACAATGTATTGAAACTGATGGAGGAAGTAGATATTGCTCACCTTTGAAGTGAATTGTAAGATAAGCAGCTTTGACGATTTTGTTTTATTTTTTACAGATTGACGTTCTTCCAAACCTGGATAGATCATGGAGTGCCAAACGTGTTCTGGATCTCAGGATTTTATTTCACTCAATCATTTTTAACAGGTGAATAAGTGGCAAGCATTAGTCTCTGTCATATCACTACTAACTAATTTGTTTTAGTAGGATTTTACGATCAGCCAGTAGCGTGCAGTGGCTAGAGGTCGTCTACAAAATGACAGCGTTTTCTCGTTTTTACGATGTTTTGAGGAAGAACATGAAATATCAGTCTATAATCCAATTCCCCAGAACACCCAATAGAAGAAGTTGAACATCATGCGACATTAAAACCTCAAGTTCTTACCAAACTGCCGAGCGCGTGTAAACAGCTGCACGTTTTGTTAAATATATGTTTATGATTTCTGAACTGCGGTCTATTCCTGTTTGCCAGGCGCACGCCAGAACTTTGCCAGGAAGTACACCATACCTATTGATCACGTGGGTTTCCAGTTCGAGATGACAAACAGCGAGAAGGAAATGGACAATAAGCCTGAGGATGGTGTTTATGTCTACGTACGTATTATATTAATCACGGACTACGAATTTGACATTCTCCTACTATCCTAATAGAGCGTTTTCAGTTACGTGGCCAGCAGTCATGCAAATTTAGTGGAACAAAAAAGTGGTTTACGTAAGAAAAGAGTTAAACTCCCACAGGACCGGTTTGGTACACGAACATGGCCGCCTTTTCATTCTTTTGGAACACCATATTGGCTGCCGTGACGTCATGTGAAACACTCTATGGGAGCAAACCAAAACCAATCGTGACTAAGACTAGACACGTTTTCCCGCGCTTGGCGCCGATTGCATGAATCCACCTCTTGTTGTGATTGTTTCGTTGCATAACCTGCCTTTTTTGAATGGTCTGATATGATTGCTTTTGTTTTGGCCGAACAATCACAAATCTGCTCCATCTACAGACTTGGGTCAATTTTCATATTACTAGTAGAAGTCTTTAGAAGTCTTTATTAAGAAATCAGTCGCAACATACGTGTGGCTTTACAATCAATAACAAACTAAGCTAAACTAGAAAAAAACCTATCATATGTATTAACACGAAAGAAGTTTAGGGGGAAACACGAGACGAAGTCGAGTGTTTTTCCCCTCTTCGAGTGCTCTACCGCTTCCTAAGTGCTTTACAACAGAACAGAGTACAGACGAAGCTTCTTTATTTATTTCATGATAAAGAATCCATTCATTTGCCCACACATTCAGCTTAGTATTTTCAAACCAAACTTTATTTTCCAAACGAGGAAAAGTGGCGTCAGCATGCATCCGTTCTCTGATGAAGCACGCTTAAATGAACCAGTCACAATCCTTGTTAGAATTGCTCAAATAACTTGATTGGCTGACGAGACGACAGCTGTAAATCACAAACTGAACATCAGCTAAGCTTCCGGTTTCGGGTGGCTTTCGAGAGAACAACGATCGCTTCAAAATTCGCTTTTTTAATAGTTTGATTTAAAAATAAGGATTTAAAAGGTTCCAGTCCAAAGAAATCCGGCCGCCATGTGGCTCATGAAAACGTGCACGTATCCAATGGAAATTACCAAACTGTATTTGAAAGGAGCTAAAAGTTATTTACGGCTCGCAGCGAGATTGCCCGAATTATCTTCAAAGTTCGAAAGACTAAACTGCTCCCGCCGGTTCTACTCCGAGTCAGGGGCCTGTTTCTCGAAAGCCCCGGAAACTTTTCGGGCCCGCAAAGCCATGTTTAGTTAATCGGTATTTAAAGGCAGAGAGGTGTATACGCCTGAAACTTTTTATATGAAGAGAATTTCCGTTCATATTAAGAATATATGTATTAAACAGCTAGCTCTGTAGTCATATAGTTTGAGATTTTGTTACGCCTTTTCGGGTGCGAAAACTTTTCGGGACCATCGAAAAACGGGCCCCAGGAGGGAATATTACAGGAAGCCTTCAACTGATCACTCTTCGGGTGAGCATTGTAATTGTTGAGTTTCACTTCGCTAAAATGACCGGAGATTGCTATTTAGCGAACTAGCGTTGCTACACTCCATGTAAGTGTAGTTTGGGCATTTTTACAAAAATAAAGCTTCTTGTCATAAACAGAGTCAGCTCAAGTGGTGTTTTCTGTCATTGTTTTACTTGTAAAGTATAATAACTGCCTTCGTAACAAATATAATGTCTTTTATCGAAGCATTCGCTAGGTTGAGAATTTATTTCGCTACGTGATAACCGTTTCGTCGGAATCTAGCAAAACTTGTTTTCCTAGCACAGTTTTAACACTTCTGTTGTTTAACAATGGTTTCCGTGCAACTATGTTTACTGCAGACATAGAGCTCGTGTCCATTGCGTTTGTCTGAGTCACGGGATGTTTAATCTGGGTCAAATTTGTCAAAATTTTTAAGCAAAAATTTGAAATTCAGTTTTTCATGTCTCTGTACTCTGATAAAGCGGGTTGTTTCAGCCCAGAGCGTGCGTTATATGGAAACTTTATTATAAAGAGGAGTAGGACATAATTATTTCGCTCGAAAGCGGAATTGACTACACGCAATTTTCCAAAAGAGGAATATTCACGAAATAAACGTGCCAGACCAGAATAAACCAGAGAGCGTTATGTTGTTGAAATGATTAAGAATTTTTAATCGTTTTCATTCTACTAGAAGAAATGGGTATAAGGCTCGTTGTCAGCAGAACGACAAACTAGCATGATGCTCTGGCGTTTGAGCCCTGTAATAATAAAACTTTTCGTTCGGTAGTATTATTACGATTTCTCACTCACTACTTAGATCTTTTCAATATATTGATAACTACGATGATAGGCAGAATTGTAGATTCTGGGGTTTTCACCCGTACCCATCAGCCTTAATTACTTATGTATTTATCAACGTGAAATTTAGTAACTAAAGTTGCTAAATTAATCTTCGGAGCTTTGATAAATTAGCCCACTGTGTGCTAGGTATATTTCTGGTATTTTACTAGAGGTAAAACAAACAAAATTGTACATTTTCAAGATTGTAGAGCTCTCCATTACGTTCTTTTCACTGTAGTTTCTTACAGTCTTGTCTATTGTCCCTTTTCTACAAGGCCATTCACTTATGAACTTCGTTACCAGT